CTGTCCCGGCTAACTGAGTTTAAACAACAACAGTATGATCAGTAATAATCCTCATCTTGTAAATGAACTGTAATAGCTGTACATGTTTCACATTCGCTTGAAATTTGTTTATTCGAAGCCTTTTATTTTTCTTTCTATGTACATTCGGGGAGTCATTTATTTCTTACTATGAATCATTTTTGAAAAATTTCTGCTGTTACCTTCTTATCGCAACATAACAGTGCTTTTGACGACATTCAGCTTAGATATCTCACAATTTAATGTTTGTAATTTAACCTTAAGGTTAATTTTCATATTTAGTCATTGAATTTATGATGAATGAATGAATTAGTCTTATGAACGACATTAATGTTTAAATAACATCAAATCAATAATATTGATAAATTACAGCTGAACAGCATCAACATCAAATAAACTGAATGTCAGAAGAATTAGGAAAGGTAATAGTACAAATTCATGAGTTTATAGTCTCTACTGAGGGCCAGGGCAGTAGAAGGGGCTGGATTTGTTTCTTTTGGACACAGAGCACTGGTTGTTTGAGGCGAAGTGCAATAGCCTCTGCTGTTTGGAGTAAGCGGTGCTTCGACGATTTTGGTAGTTTGTTAGGCACCTGGTATATTATAGAGAAGGATTCTTCTACGCTGGCTTTGTGACCGGTTTGCATCAGATGGTCTAATATCGAGCTGTTAATAGTTTTAACTACACCTTTACTTAGCCATAGTTGGCCGTTGCTCTAGGAACTTGATTTTTCGTGCTCGAGAGCATATCCCACTATGGCTAAGTAAAGGTGTAGTTAAAACTATTAACAGCTCGATACTGGACCATCTGATGCAAACCGGTCACAAAGCCAGCGTAGAAGAATCCTTCTCTATAATATACCAGGTGCCTAACAAACTACCAAAATCGTCGAAGCACCGCTTACTCCAAACAGCAGAGGCTATTGCAATTCGCCTCAAACAACCAGTGCTCTGTGTTCAAAAGAAACAAGTCCAGCCCCTTCTACTGCCCTGGCCTTCAGTAGGGACTGTAGATTCGTGAATTTGTAATATTATCTTTCATAATTCTTCTGACATTCAGCTTATTTTATGTTGATGCTGTTCAGCTGTAATTTATCAATATTATTGATTTGATGTTATTTAAACATTAATGTCGTTCATAAGACTAATTCATTCATTCATTATAATGTATATATAATTGTAGAACCTGATGATGAATTTATCGAAAAGAGTTCTCTTTGTTCTGTGTCTATTCTTTTGAAAATTTTAATGGGCATTTTTAATCATTTAATTTATGATTGGTGAATCGGTGGTTCAATGGCAGAATGTTCACCAATCATGCAGGTGATCCTTGGTTCGATTCCCGGCTAACGTACTCCTAAACTTTGCCCAGCTTACTAGCTAATGGTAAGTCTGGGAAAGAGGGAATGTAGGCAGACAGGCTAGCAACCCCACCTAGTAGAAGGAAAACACCACATCTACTGCAACTTGAAGCCTGAAGCTGTATGTTCCATTTAGAACTCAGAAGAATGAAATGACATTTGTATTGATTATTTTTATATTTAATACAAAATACCTTATTTTAGACAAATTCTGTGCTCTAGATTCTATGCGTAGCCTGAGCGTCTGGTTTATTTGATCGAAGGCTCAACTGTTAATTATCGTTCCAGATTTCTTGGAAGTAATCTACATGAATGCAAATTTACCCTCTACACTGTAGCAATTTGTTTTTATGACAAACTAACTTTATAATTCAGATCAATAGCAACAGTAATCTGTTTACACAATATCAAGTTGTTGATTGTCTGACACAGTAGACCTGAGACTTTTATTGCGTTTCTGTACAATAACTGATAATGGTATTCTTTATCTCTTTTTAACCCACTAGAATCACTAGATCCACAAACAAATCTGGAGAAATGTAAACAAGATCCAGAGTGCAGTAAACAATACGTTGAATGTGCTCATGCCAAATTAAACGAATGCAATGACGAGATGAGTAAAGAAGTTAAGAAACAACTACAATCTTTTGGTAAAATAAATTAATTTTGTGTACATTAATGTTTAAAAAAACACAAACAATCTAATACTAACTGACAAGACAGTAGAATTTACTAGTGTTTTAAATATTGTATGAAAAAAAATACTTATTTATTCCTATCTTTACGATAAATTCACTGTAGAATAAATAATAGTATTACTTTAAAGCCCTTAAAAAGAATGCTTTTATTACTCTTTTCGTCTACAGTACAAGTAAACTAAATACATCAGTGAAGTGATAGTTTGTTACAAAAAAATATGATCTCTGGATTCGTTAGATAACCTCAAGTATTACCAGTGCTCACAAGTCATTACTAGTGAAGTGGATCCTCCACCTACAGTAGCTGATACTTCCTCCAAAATGTAAGCTTGGAGAATATTAGAAACCTTACAAGTAACTACTGTGCCATGTATAAAACGTTATCATCATGATGAAGTAAATAGTCTATCAGTTCACTTTCTTGTCTGACTGATATTCAGCACAGAGCTTTGCACTGAAGTGTAGCAGTTTAAGTTGCCACACCCCATTTAGCTCACAAAATTAGGGAAGAAAGAAATTCAAAAGAACCATAATAAAAGAATAGTAACAGAGTAAAACATGAGGACCTACCACATCTCGAAGATTACAAAAAGTGAATGCATTTGATCCACTGAGAACAATTTTTAACCATATCACTGACAATCTCTGTGCATCCGTTCTTATCACCCCAAGGACGCAAACCAGGAGGCCGACACCTCTCCACGTGGTTTGGCCACACCTAACTAGTTTCCAAGTTAATTTTATTTCAGTTAATATTGCTCGAGGAGGAAGGCGATAGTTTGTCATGCGTTACATGTGCCCTAGCGAACTCAATCGATGTAGCCTCACAACTTCATCGATGAACTGGACCTCCTTGCCTAACGGTCTATGTCTAACTTCAGTATTATTCACTACATTATATCACTTAACATGAGAGACAGAACAAAGCATTTACTTCACAACCATAAAGAAGGACAGCGGGAACTGCAGGGCATTACTCACATCCATTGATCAATAACCTGAGGACAATACACCAGAGATGACACGTTTTGGTAAACGACACACGTGACTTTTGTATAGATGCTGAGATCTTGTCAGCAATCAGTCAGTTAGATATGATGCAACTTTCTTGTGCTTCTGAAGATGAGTATCGGAAATGATTTTCAGTAAGGGACGCAAACATATAAAGATATGAGGGCTCAGGTTGTTGTGGTTTTTATTAACGAAGAAAGGCTACAGGTCTAAGCAGATGTTCAAAATCCTGAGGATAAAAAGCAAAACAGTCTGGTTCGTTGTGACCAGTTTCGTTTTATATTAACTGAAATCTGCAGTCACTAATTTTCCCTTGAGAAGTACACTTCTTTACGTAGCTCAGAGAAGCATTCAAAGACCACATACACTAGTATCATTTTGCTTGGGCTGATACTGTATCAGTAGAAAGCTGTATGACATGACTGAAATCCCCACTCACTGTTAGCAGGCGCATGTCCACACGGCCCACTGAAATACCTTTACCAGTAGAATTGTACACATCTGCATTCTAGCTACCCGGGGCTCAACTAAACACGAGTTATTTTATAGGTAACATTTACAACCAAGCAGATGACTTTCTTCTAGCTATTATTTTCCATGCAAAAACAATAGTTCATCAGGAAGCGTTGTAGTCACAACGATAAGTAAATTTAGGGGTATATACTTTATGTTGCATTAGTGGCCATCTGGTCCTCTGAAATGTTATTACGCAACACAAATGGGTTGCCAGTACTGCTGTCTATTTCCCGATGTATAGACTAATATCTGTCAGTCAAATCTGTGTACTAACTACGACGAAACCACTGAACACTGTGGCACACTTTCATTTCTGATGTCAGAAGTCAGCTGGCCAGAACTTAATCACGAGGAACATATGTATCTTGAGAGCCACACTTATTGTGTAATGGTTGATGATTCCGCCCAGATACGCAGATTGCACTGGGTTCCTAAGCTAATCTGGTGATAATGCTCGTGACTTAGGAAATCAGTGATAGCGTTCCAATCTCAGAGAAGGCGTGAATCTACTCAAAGTAACACAAACGCCCTGAGGAGTGTTAACAATCACAAGATCTACTCTTAGAGATTTCCGTAAATTAAATAATACCACTTTAAGTCATGAGATCAAACTGAACAGATAGACGAACTAATTCAGTTAACCTTAATCAGAAGACAAATTTACTCGGTGAGCTGAAATGAAATGGCCCATCTACAAGGGCCTAGAATTTGTTTGTATTTCCTATAGAACAACGTCTAAATAATGAATGTCCTCGAAGGTTTATCGATAGAAGCGTAGGAGAACAAACCGTAGTGTCAAAGAATTTGTGTTTCAAAGCATATATCATGACGGCAGTATTAAAAAGACGTCTATATGAGTACATCGAAATCACTTCCTACGACGGTAACTTAAGCATAATGAACTTGAAACAAAATATGCTGTGGCAATGTGTGAGGGATAAAATATCCCTTATATTTACAACTATTATTCACAATGCTCCCATGGATCTAGTTACGTTCGAGGTTGTGAGTTCTACAGAAACGTGTAATGGGACATTATTTGGTCTGGTCGATGAGAGATTAGTGCGGGACAACAGAATAATCCTATTCGAGAACAACTTTTGAAACCAGGTCACTCAATCTTCGACGATTTACGCTCTAGTGTTACCTACAGCACTTTACTTAAAACACTCACATAACCACATAGACACACCAATCTTTCGACTGCTTGAAATGGTCTAGATTAGAGAATAAGTGCCGACATAGGTTCCTGCCAGAATTCGGACAGTGCAAAGCACACATCATACTTGCAGAGGTAGAGTTAAAATCGATTTCTTCAAAAGTCTACGTCTGCATATTAAGAAACACGTAATCTGCTTTGTTACTCTACATCAGTTAAATCGAACAAAATACATTATTCCTAACACGAATTTGCAATCGGTTTTATTGTCTCAATGTAACAAGATAAACAAGTTATTGATATTAATATTTACAAACTCAACAATACACCTTCAAATTTACAATCACAATTAGATGTAAAAGGAAAATTATGCATATATATATATATCAAATAATCATGATTTCAAGTTACATTTTCGAATGAGTAAATTCTGTCATTTTACTTCATTATCCTGTAACAACCTCAAGTTCAGTTCCGTCGGATAATCTTCGTAAATCTGCTTCACAGCGAACAATTGTGTTCGGCAATTTACGAACTTTTTTAATTTCATCAGGCCTGATATTTAATTCCTTAGAAATTATTTGAAGAAAATAAGGATAATCGCATGTTTTGGTAGGAGCTTCAAATTCATAGAAATCTTTTTCCTCCGACTGTGCTAATCTAACCTTAATATTGAAAGAAATAAAAACAAAATTAGAATATTTGTCAACCTGCATACATTTACGTGAATAAAAGAACACACTGAGAAAACCTTTGCATAGCATTATGTCATAGGTGAAAACCAGTGACAAAGACAGATTTTGGTGGACTGTGTTGGTGATGCAATGGTAAAATGCCCATCAGCCATGAGCGAGGTTTGGGTTCGATCCCCGAGTGACCCACTTTTAAACCTCCACTAGCCGGTGGCAAGCGCTTAAAAGATTAAGGGTTGGACATAAGGCTAGCAACTCCAACCATTAAATAACAGCGGTGATGCTACTAAGACTTCAAAGCTTCAGGCTTAACGCTCTGTGTTCTAATTAGAACACAAGGAATGAAAGAAACGCATTTAAACGGCTGGTAGTACTGTTGAAAGACTGATGTCTGGGAAAGCTTGGTTCCACAAGCAACAAATTTAGTTATAGCATTATTTAAGTGGGGAAAATTTATTATAGCAACAAACAAGAATTCAACAGTACGTTTCTGAAACAAGAACATGTGAAAATTATCTAGACAAAGAGGTTAAGCCATAAATGGCACACATTCTAAGAAGCTGAGTTTGTATGAAGCCTTCTTCCATCATGATTAGTATCTGTCTAGTGACATTAAAAATGTCGCCTGCCAGCATATTCTTTTTCAGAAATTAACAAATTCCAGGTTAGCTGTTGTAAAACGCTTCCCCTTCATTAATGCTTCACAAGAATTACCAGTGTTTAATCATTTCTATCAACAGCACTATTCATTATTTTAGTGCCTCTTTAGTCTGAATAATAATTTGCTGTAGTTCATGTAGGCAGTTTCAAGTCAATAGAGTATTTAGCTGATAAACATTAGTAGATTTCAATTCTTTAAGTCCTGATTTTCTCATATCCGTTGCTCACTTTAAAGGAAAACTCGTCAGGTACTTCCCAACTTGCGCCACCTTAAGCGCAAGTCGAAAATTCGGCTGCCCATCAGAGAACATGTGTACTGTACTCTGTCCTACTTTACACATGTGCAAATATACGGAAAGACTACAGTTGCTGCTGTTTTATAGATCACATCAAGCAGAGCAAAAGGTCTAGGTTAAGAGGATAAGTCGATGAACAAAGTTATGTTCGAATCCCGCTCCACCTACTAACTTGTGAGCAGCTAAATAGATAGTCCTAGCCATCACACAGGTGTGTCTTATTACTAACTACATGCAAGTGCCATTGGTTGAAGATAGCTCAAAACGTACATTTGAAATACAACTTAGTCACGTGTGAAACACTGAGATGAGCTGAAACAAGACCTAAAACCTTGTCAAGTTTCTTATATAATACTGTTTAAAATGGAGAATTAACATTATAGTGCTTATTTTAAGAGTTTTATATAATGTGACACCCTCAATGGAAGAAAATAAATTCCCTCTCAGTAATCTAGTCGTTTCTTTTCATGTGCAACTTAAAAGTAACTCACCACCCTCCCTTATTTACAATTAGCGGAACACAAGAACGTGAAAATTTTTATGGTACATATTCCTCAACAATAAAACAATGAAACTCTATATCTGCTATCCTTCTCCATCACAGTTACATCTAAAGGGGAAGAATACGATTTTACTAATTCTTCAGAATAAGACTCAACTACTGGGTATTATGGTACAGCTTAGAGCTGTAACCTTAGGATTTTATCAGACTACCTGGTATCCACACAGCATTGGATATGATAACCTCAGACGATACAGACCCAATTTACACATCTTTGCAGTAACCGACATTAAAGATACTCACTTTTATAATGGTTTCAGTGGGACAATCAGCTTTCACAGGTTGATAACTTTCAGTGGCTTTGATGTAGGGAAATGAGGGGCATTTCAAATAATTTGGAACGAATGTACTCTGTACTGTTTCATCTTTAGAAACTTTAATAAAAAATTATGAAACTACTTACGCATTTCATGCGGCTTTTTTCCGTCATTCCTCCTAACATCCGGATCAGCACCCTTTAGTAACAAATAGTCAATAATAGACTGATGTTTTCTCGTGTATGCCCAATGAAGTGGTGTCATACCATTTACCTTATTTTGGTGATTGATATTGGCCTTTGGAAAATTAAATTTAGTTATTAGAGAAACGAATTACCCTACACCAAGATTTACTAGATTTACAACTTCTTCAAGAACTCCAACGCTGCAAGCTTCGTTTAATTTCTCACCTAGCTCAGACGGGTTTGTCATCATGAAAAATAACTGGGAAAATGTAGTTCTGAAAAAAAGATCAAAAAACATTAGCCAAGGATTAAACTTTTAATGGCAATTGACTTGGTTAATTAGTTGTTAGAAACACCCTTATACAGTAGCAATTAAAAAGACATCACCACATCAGAATGTCGTCTTTATGCAGACATTTGAAACCATGTTTAAATATTATTCGTTGCGTGAGACATACAAGTATAACTTCGGCTTTTAATTCAAGAATCGGCCCAAATTTATTGCACCAAACAAAATAGAACAAAGGAACCTATGAAACTGATGTGATGAGAATGTGAAACAAATGTAAACCACTAGTTTGTTTCCAAACTAATTTCAAGGTATTACAGAACGTGCTAACTCTGCAGGTGAAACATGGCTCATCCACCCATGCCAGTGCATAATTACTGCCATATCAGTGAATTGATTTACCTTGTTCACAATCATAAGCATATTTTAATATAAATAAAAACATGAGGGTTCAATTGAACCCTATATTATTATTGCGTCCTAGGACAGCTGTCCACTTGGAATCAACAATTTTCATGCACAGATGTATTAAACACGCTTTGCCTGAGTTTTAATGATGTATGCTGTGACATTTACAGCAATAAGCAGGTTCCTAAATTGGAATAACGGACGTAATGATATTAATCAAACAACCAGATGAGCCCAAGCGAAATACGCATAATAGTGATTGCACTCCAGTTAATTTATCACAGCACTAACCAAAGGTGGATTTTAGTTTATTTCCATCTGGTAAACACACTTACGTCAACTGAATTGTTCACATACACACATCACAACGTAACGGCACAGTTGAAATCCGAACACACACAATTCAATACCCAATGCTTCGAAACTATGCCTAAACTTGACTCATCCTAACTCGAACCAACTGTTATATCCTTCTTATTAGGTTCACTTGAGACTAACCTGTCCTGACCATAAAACTTAATTAAATCCTTCGCAAACTTAAATTAAACTTACTGGACATTCCGTTTAATGTCATAACGAGTCATTAGGCATATTTTATTCATTCCCAAGGTTAGCCTAAAACGGAAGATATCACAGTTGGTTCAAGTTAGATTTGGGAATGTTTTGAGGTAGGGCAGATTGAATTCAGGCCTATGATTAAAAGAAGTGATACATACACAAGATGTGGATTAGTTAGTCTGTTGACATTCCAGTGGAAAACTGGCAAATATTTTGTCACACTCTAGACAGAAGTTTCCAGCGTAAAAGTTTTAAGCTATTTTATTCCTTATTTCCATGAATGCATGTACTTTATACAACAAAGTCCGGACACACACAATTCAATACCCAATATCCATCTTGAAAACTAGTGTGTGCCCATTTAATTTTTTAGGCTGGTTTATTGATTTTAAGGTAAGAGTTCTTGGGCGAACACGAACTTCAAGCACCAAAGGAGCTTGGCTTACTGATAATAATAATATAATAATAATTTACTTTATTCCAAAAACGGTACTTATAATACAGAATGGAATTCTCAGCATTTGTCACAATATTGCATCTGATTTACTCAAAGAGTGAGAATATACGTTATAGAGTGTTATATCTTACGCGCTTAAGGGCTTTCTCAGCTTTGATTGGCTAGTACAGTGGCGGAGAGTTTGACTTAAATTTGTCCTCGGTAGGTCATGCCGTGTGCAGGTTTGCGTGGTTGCGGCATGCGTTGTTTGCAAGCATGTTTGATGAATATAAATGTAAAATGTTGGTATTCAAACGTTTTCTTTTACTTATTTTGTGCATGTACCAGGCTTGGTTTATCATACACTCGGTTTTTTGGCCTATCGGTTGCTGGCGATGTCAAGGAATCCGTGAGTTCTAGGGCTTTTCTCGATTTTAGGTTATACATGTAGCATTTTATTGATGGATATTGCGACACAGATGGATGCTAATTGACAACGCCTTTTTAGTTTATTGCAGGTAGGCAATGCGGGTGAAAGTACTGCTGACGTCAGTGGAATTTTCGATGAAATTATGCTGGGAAGGCGTTTCTTTAGTTGGGAGGAATTTGAGAATTCCTTAGGAGAATTTCAACAAGTGAGGAAGTCATTTAATGCTAACAATGTAGTTGTCCTGCACTCACTATGTGCATATTCAAAGCAAAACAACAGGGGACGACAGATATAAGTACGCTTACGTTTATTTTAAATGCACTTTTGGCGTGAACCGTGGAAAAGCTGGCCTGAAATTGCGAAACAAGTCGTAAGAGGAATTGTATTATGATAATATGTATGTTTAAGGTCTAAATGTTGCAACTGTCTGTCTGCATTTCGCGTAATTCTGCGTTTTAATGAATACGTGATAACATCCCACAAAATGGTCCACAACCATCCATGCACCAGGGTGTATATGCAAAATGATCCATGGTCTAGACGACTGTCAGCGGAAGAGAAAGAAAATGTAGAACCACTTCTTCACCAATCACACTCATCAGATGAAATAATTCTGCATGTTAAGGAAACATTCCACAAGGACATAACTCTTAATGACGTTAGAAATCTGAAAGCTTCAGTTAATAAAGGTAACGTTAGTGTAAATGTAAACTACTTCAGGTATATCGAGCCGTTATGACATTTTTGAATTCCTTAAGTCCCGTGGGAAGTTATTGGAGTATTATTCAGATGAACCGATAAGGAATTCACTGATGAGAGTCTGTTTTTCTACTTATGAGCAAATAGATTTGTATAAACGGTTTCCGGAGGTTGTTGGCATCGATTCTACATATAACACAAATAAAGGGAAGTAAGTTTATTAATTAATTAATCAACATGCAGGTATTCTTTGTTTCAATTAGTTGTAACAGATAATTTTGGTCGTGGGAGACCGGTTCTATTTGCTTGGACGCGAAAGGAATTCAAGCGTGATGTTGTTTGGATTTTGGACTCGTTTCGTAGCATAATGGAAGACACCTCTAAAACAGAAACATTCATTATGGATTGTGCGCAAGCCGAAATAGGAGCAGTGAAGTTAACACACAGAGAAGCGCACATTGTTCTTTGTTCTTTTCATGTTTGTCGTGCATTTTGTCGTAAAGTAAATTATTTAAAAGCATAATTAAAATTTCAATTTTAGACGCGGAATCCCATTGTTAAGAACTACTTATGTCGCTTAATTCAGTGTAAAAGGAGATCTGAGTAATGCCTTTAATATTTTCATTTTTCCAGATTTAACTTCTATTTCAGAGTTATTAGCAGATTGGATGTTGGTGTCAGTCAGTATTTACAACGTCGTTGGATGAGTCGACGACACTTGTGGGCAGCAGCTTTCAGGGAACATGTACTGACTTTGGGTAATGATACCAACAATCGTGTAGAAAGTTCTCACAAGCAGATGAAGCGGTACTTGCTTAGATCAGATAGTCTGCATCAAAGCATGCTGAAGGTTCACAAATGGTTTCAACTTAGTAATTCTAGAATAGAGCAGGAGTCCATGATTGCTCAGTCGCGTTCCCTCAAGTATTCATGTTCCGAACGCATAATACCAATTTTACGCCACCTGACGCCATACACTGCGAAGAAAGTGATCGCTGATTATGCGAAGCGACGATGGACTTCTTTTCAGTTAGAAGGTTTTGATTATATCTTCTTGGATGACAATGGGAGACCAGTAGAGGTGGATCTGCGCGCATGCACATGTACTTGTATGACGTTCCAGACTTGTCGGTATCCCTGTCGACACTTGCTGATGGTGCATTTAAAAAAGGCGTGTTTCACAGGTAAAATACCCTTTTTTGAAACTTGTATATTCATTTACACGTAAGATATACTAGGTTGCCACCTGAAGTATTCCCTATTTTATGTCTCCATAGTTAATGCATATTAACCTACTCCTAAGTGACTGAAATTCGTAGACACTAAAGTGTATATATATTTCATAAGGGTTTGTCTTAATTGAAAACAGGACGTAAGCACTGTCATTATTTATCCTTTAATATTGTGTGCATAATTCTATTTCCGTTTACCGTTGCACCTTTTGTAGTTAATCATGTGCTGCAGAACTGTAAACGATGGACATGGTCTCGCCAATCGTACGCAATTCCAAGCACGTCAGCAATTGTGCCGCTAAATCAATGTGACTTATACGTAACCAATAGGAGGCTTATTAATGCGGGCCTGACGAGAATTTGCGACAAATATGGACGGAGGTTTGCCGCAGAGTTCGCTGGAAAAGTAATCGCTGAAATCAACAATGTTCTTGATGTGTAAATTAAATACTTTCGTATTACAATAAGAATAAACTTTTCGTATTAAGATTGTTGTCTTTCTGTTGGTGTGTTCGCCTTGGGAGTACGGCATGCTAGACCGGTGCTCCCTAGGATATGAATCCGTTACTATATGTAAGTCCTAATCTGTAGGAACACTTTCCACCGATATAAGTCGTGAATTATAAGTACTTCAGTCACATCGAAAAAAAATTGAGATTACGTCTCCTAGTCATAGATAAATCTGTAGGGACTAATGACAAAAATACCTAACTGCAGTGTTTGACAAATAAGAATAGAACTTAGGGCCCTGCAGTTGACTTCGATTTCGTATGAAGTTAAGTGTAATCAAAAGCACTGTATTACTACTATTTCACTTAAAGCAAGATGTCAATCCATATGAATACGGGTGTTAACATACAGTGTAAAGTGTAGTCTACACGAGAGGAATAATTTAATAGGTTGGGCTGTAGCAATGTTAGTAAGATATCGCCGACGTTGAATTATGCCTACAATTAGTTTCTCAGGCCTACATCTCGTCATAATGACAAATTTAGTTTCACTGAGATACAATAAGAAAAGTATGGTAAGCAGGATGTTAAATATATTTCATGAAAAATATTAAGCGAATGTCTTCACACAATTGTTTTTCGTAATTACTGCGAGGATGCGTAATTGCTGTGACCTGGTTGACTGACTTGACCGAACATCTACAAGTAAATAATAAAGTATAATTTTTAAATCGTTGAAGTTAGAAATAAGTAATGTAAAAGTGAAACGCTTCATATTCTCCTACCTTTGCTGAAAAAAGGTTCATTCTCCCTTCTCATTCTTTGGTCATGACAGCATTCTTCTGCGGTTTTCACTGTGACATACATTGTTCTTCTTCTAAAGTATAGCACCAAGCAAATAATAACTTAATATACTGTATAAATGGGTGTTTACAAGGAATGCATGACATCTCTACAGGTACAATAAGTTAGGCTATAAATTACAATCGTGAAGTATCGTAAATTAAAACTTTTTCAAAAGCTTAGATTGTTCATTTATTTTACAAGCAATTACAACAGATTACAATAAAAGTTAAACTCCGGACCCTTCACAATGAACACTGCATATATATCGGTAAGTGCTATTCCCTCACACAATTAAAAGGTATTCCATGAGGAGAACAGCATCCTGAGAAACTGCAGTAGTGTTTTCTAGCTATTCGGAACTTATTCCTTTGATGCTGTTTCTTAGCAACAGTTTGCAGTATTCATAGTGACTTTAGAGAAAACTTTATCATATCTTCACTTTCCCTTCAAGTACAATAGCATGCAGTAACTACATACACACAAGCATTGTAACTTAAACATCACAAAATCCCTACAGACAACTTGTTTCATAGTAAATTCTTTTGCAACATGAGCCATAAGTACACCTTCCATGTCATTCAAAGTCACAAGTAATTCATTAAGCATCTCAGAATATGTTAGTGATGTGAACATGAAAAATTCGTAAGACTGATATAACTGAAGTAACACGTTTAGTAGTTGTAGGACATACCTGCGAGCTACTATTCTACAGAAAGGTGATTCCAATTTGAAGCAGTCTGGCATTGTAGAAGCACCATGTATACTATTCTTCTGGCACAAATGCACAATGATATCGAGATAATCTGATGCAATGTAATGCACTCAGCAATTACGGTCTCCCGAATTTCTATGTGACAATGTAAATTAAACTAGTATCACAT